GTGTGTGTGTGTGTGTGAGACAGCATTCGTGAAAGGGTGGGAGGATGTCAGGTAACAGAGTAGGAAGACAGATGCATGCATGTCTGTATGTGTGCATCTATCACGCACATATGTGTATGTAAAAATTCTAGTTATAAAAACATACGAAGGAACTAGGGACTTAGCTGAGGTCTTAAGGTGTTTCTTCTCATGATCAGGTTCAAGGTGGGAAACCCGAAGTCATCATCCTAACTGTAGCAGGAAGGATCCAAAGTCCCACAGTGGCAAGAGACACTAACATAAGAGAGGAGCTGGTACCCCCGACCCCAGATCCTAAAAAAACATCTAGTACTTTCCTTCAAGTTCCCTCAGCTTCTAACCAACTAAAAATCAAAAGGACGAAAACACAAAGCCTAAGACATGGCAGGGGCAGGGGGGAAGGTGGGAGAAAATATTAAGTATTCTTGTGCCAACATCCTGCATACACAAACCTGGAGTGCTCCAGAAATTAGGTCAGGTTGGGTGTGGGGCATTAGGGGAGGAAATAGAAGAGTTCCTGAGGCCTGAAAAAAGAGGTAAACACGTCACAGAACTACATGAGAGTTTCATTAGACTCTAACTAAAAACAGAGAGGTGTGATTACTATTTCCAGCCAGTTTCCCCATCACGATAGTCATGTAACAAACCAAGGCAATGTCGGTCTTGAGCCAGACTCACAGAGTCCCCTGGCTCTGGCCCTGGCCTCAGTACAGTGTCTCTGCATTGCTGCTCCGGGGCCGTTTGATCTTCTCGATATTTTTCAGGATCATGTCATGTAGAGTGACCTGGAAGAAGAAAGCTCAGGGAATCACCCATCTGTTCTATACCTACCTCAAAAAAAGAACAAGACCCCTCCCCCACAAATTCCCAAACAATCTTTCACTTAATCCCAATCTCATTCATTTGAATCTAAATTTAGGATGGCTGCCCTACCTGTCTTATACCCCAAAACTGGGTATACCTGGGCCTAATAATAACTAACATTTATTGAGCACTTAACATACCAAGAATTGCACTGGGTCCTTTAATGTTATCTTACTCATTCTTAAAAACCATGTTGTGCAGTAGATACTCTAATATACATTCCATTTTAGAGATGGAGAAACTGAAGTCTGAGGTTTAACAACTTGCCCAAAGCCACACATTACAGGTAGAGTCGATTCTAAACCTAAGTCTGTCTAACTCTAACAACTGCATCTTCACCTCTACAACTATATTGCACTCCCTCCCACCCAGGTGGAAAGAAAGGAGATACCCAGCTAGATAGCCTCAATGACTTCACAGTTCTCAACACTCGGTTGATGAAGAGAATTTGTTCTACTTATTTTATCTCTGTCCCCAGACAGTGGCAAGAAATTTATCACCAGAACTAAGAGAAGCCAGAGCAACTGTGGGCAGGGGCCAAAGTCACTTACATATTGATTCCTTAGTTCTGATATGATGAGGCGAAGGCTGATATATTCTTTCTCATCAATCTCTGTCACGGTACGGCGGTAGTCCTCCTGAAAGAAGGGGCAGAGAAAGGCTGGTTCCCAAGGCCTGACTGTCCACAGGCAGCTCTTCCCCAGTAACAGTCACTCCTCCCTATCCTACCACTTCCACCCTCAGACCACAAAACCCTTACTTACCACATGGGGATATTTAGCTATTTTAGAAACCAATTTGGCTCTTGTAATATAATATCTGGAAGGAGAGAGAAGAAGAGGAAGCTGCAGGAGACCCTGGACAGCGCTTACCACCTCACCAGCCCCCAATTCCTGGGCCAAGCCCAAGGAGCCCTACCTAGAAATCTGGTCCAGATAAGATGCAGCTTCACTCTCAACAGTCCTTAATTCTGCAACTGTCTCCTCCTGAAAAAAAAAAAAGCCCAACAGTGAGTCAAAACTCACCTCCATGTCACCCCACAGCAGACCACAGAGAAAGGAAAAACAGATAAAGCAGGGAAGATGAAAGTACAATATCTCCTAAACCTTCCTCTCCAGTGTATAATACAAGCACATTACCTGAATGGACACCCCAAAGTTGTTCCCATCTTCTATCCTAGGAATCAGGAGCTGTACCCACATTTTGACCTGTAGGGTGAGGAGACCAAAATACATAAAGACCATGGCTTTTTCTGCTAACACCATGAAGTATATAATTCATGCTGCTGGGGCCAGATGCCAGGAGCACAGGAGCCAATACTTAGTCTGCCAATACCTGTATCACCACCATGCCTCCAGCCCCACCATCCATCATTTTTCATAGTTCAAGCCAGGCTGCTTGAAGTCAGCCCATACACAGGTCACTAGCCTCTGCCTCACCGTGTTGCATTTCTCAATCAGCAGCCGGATCTCAGGTTTCACTTTCTCAATAATGTCGACCAGCTGCTGGTTGCTTTTTAGCATCCCATTGGGCATCACAAACACCTTGGTTCCTGGCAGGGACATGAAGAAGGCCAAATGATTGGGGTGGGGGGGCAGGACATAGCATCCCCCACCTTTCTTTTTCCCCAGACCCATGAGATGCCATGACCTCTGCCTTTTACACAACTCTATCTACGAACCATGACACCACCAACAGAATCAAAGAGAAAATGTATGGATTAACAAGTGAATGTCTAAAGTATTCTCAAAGTCTGAAGAATAAGGAAATTAAAATACGCTCTAAAGATTTAATGTAGCAACTGTTATTGAAAAGGAAAAAATAACATAAACTGGGACTTCTGTGAAAAATCTGCAATGTGTAGCCACCCTCAGCCTCTCTCCTTTGGCAGTTCACACAAAGTCAAACCCTCCCTGTTCACTGGAAAATTAGGTTGAGAGTGCTAAACAATGACCATGTTTGGAAGACGTGGGAATGATAACTCTGGGAAATAAAATCAGATCCTGCTACCAGGCCAGGAGAACACCAGATCCATCCTGCTTCTCAAGGCTGCAAGCCAAAGCATGGGTGGGGTGAGGCAGGATGGCTCTTACCTTGGAAGGCCTCTTCACACTCATCCAACCTTCGCTTCTTGTAAGTGGGCTAAGGATATGAAGAGACAGGAATTAGCCTGCTCCCAACGCTCACATCCCTATCACAAGTAATACTTCAAGCAAGTTTAATCCCTTCTTTGACCCCATAGTTATCTTATTAATTTATGCACAACTTACTAAGCACATACAATGCTTTAAGAAAAGGTTCTTGCCACAAAGCAACTTACATTCTAGTTGGTAAAACCAACCTTTCACACAATATTACCATATTAAGAAAGTAGAGAAGATGGGTGGATACTATAAACCATAGGGAAAAAAGAACTAGTCAATGCAAGGTAAATAAAATTAAGGGAATATGTACAAATCTGCTGGTTCCACAAGGAAACATAATATTCAGAGAAGAAACACGTATTTAGCACCTACTATGTACTAGGAACAATGCTAGGTGCTGGGGATACAAAGATGATTAAGACAGAATTGCAAATCCTATCAGTGAGACAAAAATGTAGACAGAGAACAACACAGTGTCATCAGTGTTATAGAATGTGGACATATAACTGATAAGGACTAGGAACTAAAGCTGCACAATAAAGATAGGGACTGCAGTTATACACCAAGAAAAACTACTGATCCCATAACAAGACTCAAGACATTGAAACAGGTAAGAAAAGTCTTGCTTAGAGCCATGAGGACAGACCAGATAACCTGAGGGAACCTGTAGCTATCAGTCTACTTGAAACTCACTCTTAACACAGAGTAGCATTAGCAAATTCACCCCATGCTATAAATGAAAATCAGGGTCTAAAGGGGGTGTACTGTAGCCATCATGTCTGTGCGAGTCCTCATTCCCCGATCCAAATCCCACTGTCTCCTTTGTACATGTTCAAACTGACCAAGAAATAGAGGACAGAAAACCTTTTGCTTCAGAACTCAAAGATAAATATAGGACACTTACACCGTCCAGTCCATCATGGCTATTGGTGAGAAGAATGGGGTCAGGGACGGGGAGATTCATATCTGAGTGGATCTGAGTTAGGTCATGGATGTTTAGGATTGGTTCCTGAAATAGAGAAGCCCCCCCTAAAAACATTAGTCTTTTCAAGATGAACAACGAATTTCAAGGGCAAGAAATGAGAGTGCTTTACAGGACAAAACAAAACAGAATCAAGACATGATTTGTCCCATTTGACAGAAAGACCAGGGCCAAAAATATCAGGAAATCTGCGGAAAAGAAAAGGGTCTCTCACCTTCAAAAAACTATCAAGTTCTAACAACTTCTTTGGGAAAAAATTTGCCACCAAGTCTTCTGCCTAAAGATGAGGAAAAATACATTAATAATCGTGGGATGGTCTCTCTCTATAGTCATCTCTTCTTTGGGAAACTCCCAATTATTAACCAACAGACATTCTTCTATTTATTTCACTCACCTCACTTGTGATCCGCTCCCTGAAAGAATCAACCTAAAATTAACAAAGAGCAATTCAGTAACAGAAAGTCAGTACCTGGCAACAGAGGTATGGGCTGGATAGGGAAACCCATCTAGCTGTCTTTGCCTCACCTTGTAATTGTAATGAGAAGCTGAGAGGCCCCCAGATTGCAAATACTTTATTTTTTTGCGGACCCATTTCTCCATCTCAGAAGAGGGAAGCAGGGCTTGAGGTCAGCACCTGCCGGTCTTCCCTCCCTCCCTGTGTCTGAGGCTGTCTGAGTTTGAGAGCAGACAAAAGACAAGTGGATAGGGGAGGTGTGAACTCATAAACGTGCCAACCCCCATCCAGACCTGGCCTACGATGAGGCAGGACTGACGCCAAAGGCAGGGGCAGCGGCAGCGTCCGGAGGCGGGGACGTTGTTGGGCTGGGGAATATCCAGCTGTCACTAGCATAAAGCACTGAGTTCACCACGTGTCCGCGGAAGTCCCCCCGGGGCTCTCCATCACCAAACGAGGTACTGAGGGCCACCCTATATTATCCTCTCCCCTGAAGCCGTCTCGGAGTGGGGGGCTGGGCTGAGCCGAGCGGAAGCTCAGAGCTGGTGTCCCCAGGGAGACAAAGACGCCATGGGGTGTGGGGAGCCGGTCAGATTGCTCTGGGATCGAAGCGAGGGGTAAGGAGGCCCAGGCCGGTGCCGCTACCTTGAGCTTCACTTCCTGATCCACCTTCAGCAACGAGGCCATGGCCGGGCCGGGCCGTGTCCGCTCCGCTGGAGACCGGAGGCGCTGTGGGCTCCGGGGAGGGGGTCAGAGGGACGGGAGGAATCTCGGCTGCTTTGGGGACGCGGCCGCCCTCGCTGGCTCACTCACTGCTCGCTCGCTCCCCCCCCCTCTCTTTGCCGTCTGCCCGCCCGCCTGGGGCCAGCTGCCTGCTGCCTGCTGCCTGATCGCTCTTGCTCGCCCTCCCGGCTTTCGCCTCTCACGACGGAAGTTACGTCACAGCCGATCGCCGGGGCTCCGGCGAGGATGCGCACGTGCTCTGCGCAGCCGTGCTGAAGTTTGGTGTTGGACTCTCCTGCCCGGCTCGCATTTCCCGGGATCCTGTGCCTGGTAAGGGGGAAGAAAAAGGAAGAGTGGCGGAGGCTGATATACTTAGAATTGAGTCTCAGAGAGACTTGGGAACTGTTTGACTCTCTGTTAGCCTCGCACTCGTCTTCACTGAAGAGACCTTCTTAGCCGCTGCTCCTTCGAGGGCAGGACCGACGACGCCGTCGCACCCCAGTGACGTCAAACCCAGGAAGCTAGCGGTCCCGGCGCTGGCTTCGCGGCGTCTAGCCTGCGATTCCTGCTGCTTCCTCCCGTTAGCCCTAGCTCTAGTGTTAGGCTAGAGCCAAACAGAAGACAAGTTTTTTTGTGCCAGGCTTCCCCACCTTTCTCCGCCACTTATTCTCATACACTTTCAGATCTCTGAAATCAACTGCCTTATGGGCAAATTGACGCCCAGAGTGGTCTGGGCTACACGTGATTCCAGTAAATTCTGGACCAGAACCCAGATCTCCTGACTTCTAGGACAATCCTGTGTCCATTTTCCTAATGGAAGGCAGAGACTCTGCCTCTTCGCTTACCCTCTCATTCGGTCTGTCTCAACATTGGTTATTTCGCTCAATAAAATGGGCCAGGACACAGCTAGGCTCTGGGACAAGACTGCCTTAGAGCCTAGAAATTTAATGTGAGTCACTTACATAAGTTAAAATCTTCTAGTAACCACACTAAAATGTAAACAAGTGAAATTAATTTTAGTCATATGTTTAACCCAGTTTAACCAAATATCATTTCAACATGTAATCAACATAAAAATATTAATGAGATCATATACATTCTTTTTTCACACTAAGTCTTTCAAAATCTGGTATGAATTTTACACTTCACTGCACATCTCAATTCAGAAGCGCCACATTTGCAGTACTGAATAGCCATATGTGACTAGTGGCTCCTGTATTGAACAGCACAGCGCTGGGAAATCAAAGGTAAACAAGACTCAAGTTCTCTGGTCTCATGGGGTTTAATACTGGGAAGGACACCAGAAGGTAAACTGACAACATAATTACAAAATTTGATAAGTGTTAGGAAACAAATGACTGATGTAGAGAATATACCAGGGGTCTATTTTAGATAGAAGGTCAACCAAGGAAGGCCTCTCAGATGAAGTCACAATTACGCTGAGATCTAAAGGATGTAAAGGGGTTAGCGTGGGAAGAGTAAGGGGATGAACCTTCAAGGGTATAGGTGCAGCACAGATAAATACCCAGGGAAGGAAAGAGGTTCTATTGAAGAAATTGAAAGACTAGTGAACTGGGGATGGGAGTGAAAGTGGGGTGGGGAGGGTTGTTAGGAAACAATTTGGACAAAGGCAGGTCCGGTCATCTGATTTACATTTTGGGGGTCACTGTTGCTGCTGAACATTTATCCTGGGCAGGCCTCTGTGCCAAGTGCAAGGGAAATGGTGGGAATATGTAGTTAAATGAAGTACGACTGACTATGGCCTTTGGAATCCGAGAGACGTAGCTTCAAATCCCACCTCAGCTCTTTACTACCTGCAATATATTGGTAAAATTACTGAAATGCTGAGTGTCAATTCCCTCATTTGTCAAATGGAATTTCAATCATTATTAATAAATAATATGTAATTCTGTAGGGTTGTTATGATGGAAGTCATATATATGTAAAAGAACTAGCGCAGTACCAGGACACAAGGCAGGTACTAGATACATAGTAGCCATTATCAGATAAGCGACCTGTTAGTGCTTAGCATGAAGAGGTTACCCCTTAAACTATATAATTATCACCCCTGCTTTCAGACTCAAAGTCCTTTTCCAGTTATTCAAGGCTACATACAACATAGTTCATATTACCTTTGTTCCTTATTAACATCTAACGTTTCTCCCTTTTCCCTCTTCTTTCTGTAACACTTGTCCCTAGAAATTTTTGAACTCTGATCTGGATCTTCAGCAATGCTCTCCCAAATAACTTCACCCTTTTTTAAGTATGCCATTATTCTGCATTTCTTTCAGAATTAATAATTTCAACTTGAAAACTTACTGTTTGTGCTTGTTGAAATATGGCTTTGTTCTCAGATAATTGTGTTTTGTCTTCTACAAGTAGATTATAAGAAGACACACTATCCTTCCTCACTCCCATTTACTCCAATCAGGCATTCACATTCCATGTTATCAATGAGATAGTTCTTGTTAGGTTACCAATTACTTCCATGTTGACAGCACCAGTGGTCACTTCTTCATCTTTCTTGAATCTCTCAGTACTCAACACCTGTATGCTAGATTTATTTCTCCAGCCTGACATCTAACAGCTCCAGTTGTCTACTTGACAACTCTACTTGGATAGCTAAGAGGCATCTCAGACTGAACATGGCCAAATCAGAATTCTCAATTCTCCCACACACCTCTTACTTTCCTGCTCTTTCCCATCTCAGTAACTGATATAACTGTCCACCTAGTTGTTCAAACACCTATCAACCTTGATTCCTCTCTTTTCCTCATCTTCCTGCATTCAACCACCAGCAGGTCCTGTGAGCTTTACCAGTATAACGAATCCTGTATGAGTATGCTTTTCTCCATCTCCTCACTTGTTATCCTAGTCAAAGCCACTGTCATCCTTTGCTAACACTATTACAATGAACTATCTAGTGTCCATTTTCACTCTTGCCACCCCCCCCCACTAACACATTCTATTCTCTACTCACACCCAAATTATCTTTTTTTTTTTAAGATTTTATTGGGGAATTAGGGGAGGGGAACAGCTCTGGGGAATCGAGGGAAGGGGAACAGACAAGTTGCTGTCCTTTTTGTTCTTCATTCTACTTGTGGAGGACATTGCTTCACTGGCCCATATTGGTATTATCATTGAGCTCTTCCCGGGTGAGGCAGATCGGTCGCTGGCCACTGAACGGCCACTCACGAGGGCTCTTGGCAGCTCACACCGGCTGCCAGGCCGCTCATGCTGGCTGCTGGCCACACACGGTAGCTTATGGCAGCCCACTGCAGCAGGGGCTGCAGCCTATGCCGTCGACGACAACTCACAGCAGCCCAGCTCCAGGTCAAGCTGTTGTTCACCATCTCAGCTGTAGAGGTGTCACTGGCCCTCATGTGGGATCCAAACTGGGGCCCTGCTGCTCAGAGCTGGCGTCCCAAGCCTACTCTTACCCAATGCTCCACTCGACCGGCCCCCAAATTATCTTTTAATATGTCAACTACAGTTATGGCAGTATCTACTAGAACAATAAATATGTAGATATTTATTTATATATCTGTGACTTAGAAATCACAACTCTAGAAACATACCCAACAGAAATGCATAAATATATTCACCAAGAAAAAGAACAAGAATGTTCATAACAACACTATTCACAATAGCCTCAACTGGAAACTACTCAAATGTTTCTCAAGAGTAGGATAGGTAACTAAATTTTAATATATTCACACAATGGAATACCGCATAGTATTGAGAATGAATGAACGAAAACTACACACAAGATGGAGGAATCACAATACTGAATAAAAGAGGGACGTTGGGGAGCTGGGTGAGAAAGATGAAGGGATTAAGAAGTACAAATTGGTAGTTACAAAATAGTCACAGGGATGTAAAGTACAGCATAGGGAATACAGTGAATAACGTAATGTGCCAGGTAGGTACTAGACTTTCTGAGGGGATCACGTCATAAATTATATAAATGCTTAACCACCATGCTGTACACCTGAAACTAATATTAAAATATTGAATGTCAACTGTAATTGAAAAATAAAATTTAAAAAAGAAACCAAAAACGAGTACATACTGTATGGTTCCATTTACATGTTCAAAACCAGCCTGTGGTGTTAGAATTGAGGATATTGTTTACCCTTGTGGTGAGTAGCAACTGGAAGGGGGCACAGGGCAGGAGAGTGGAGTGCTGGTTACATGGGTGTGTTCATTTGTGAAAATTCACTGAGCTGTACACTTAACGATTTGTGTCCTTTTCTCTATGTATTTTATACTTCAAAGTCAGCCAGATTATGTCTCTTCCCTGCTTATCACCCTTAATAGTTTCCCAGCTAACAGAGAGGCCCTCCTGAACCCCCCAGTTGAAGTAACTCCACCCACCCTTGCCCCACTTGTTCTCAATCACATCATCCTCTATTATTTTCCTCATCATACCTACTATATTGGTTTTTTGCTATAACAAAGTACCACAAACCAGGTGGCTTAGAACAAGAGAAATGTGTCGTCTCATAGTTCTGGAGACTGGAAGTCAAATCAAAGTAGCCGGTCCGTGCTCCCTCTGAAGGAGCTAAAGAAGAACCTGTTCCAGGCCTCTCTCCTAGCGCCTGGTAGCCTCAGGTGTTCCTTGGCTCGGAGACAACTGTCTTCTCTCTGCATCTCTTCCCTCTGTTTATGTCTATTGTGTGTCCAAATTGCCCCTTTTTATAAGAACAGCAGTCATATTGGGTTAGGGCCAACCCAATGACTTCATTAACTTGATCATCTACAAAGACCCTATTTCCAAATTAGATCACATTCACAGGTACTGGGGTTAGCACTTCAACATTTTTTGTGGGGGACACAATTCAACCCATAACACCTACCATTATCTGAAATCATGTTATCCATTTGTTTATTGTCAAAATCTCTCCTCTAGAATACAGACTATTAGAGCAGTTCACCAATGTATTCCCCCCAGACCTAGAAGAGTGACTGGCACATAGTAGGTCCTCAATAAATGCTTCTTGAATTGATGACTTAGGCTATGTTGTTGATTATTCACACTATACATACTGACTGTCATACATTCTCCAAGCAGCAGGGTACACAGAGAGTTTACTATTTGCCAGGCATTGCTCTTTGTATCTCATATTATTAGATCATTCAATCATCACACTACCCTATGTGACATACACTATTATGTTCACTTTAGAAATAAGAAAACAAGATACAGAGTAGTTGAATAAC